ACACGCTGCTACTACCTCCGGAATAGTGGCAACCCTAAACAGGCAACATGCGCGCCGCCGCTTTACCTACCTACCCCTACTTAAGGGCCCTACCCCGCTGCGTTATACTTACTAAAATATAAATACTATAGCCTCCTCTAGCTACTATATTAAGTACTCTTAACTTCTTCTCTCCTTAACTAGCTATAGTAATATACTTACTCTTAATACCTAAGTCCCTTATAGTGTAGCCCCTTTTTACTATCCCCCTTAGCCTATATCTACCTAAGAGATCTTATATAGTTAGAGTTAAATAGGCCTAGGTAAGCTATCTTTATCTTATATCTTTACTTAATACTAATAGCTCTACTATTACTTCTTATCTAATTATAATATTAAGGTTACCTATACTCTTAGTAATATAGGCTACCTAGCCTATATATTTATTTTACCCTAAAAACCTAAGTTCTATACTAATTATTAACTTATTCTAGTTTATAAGTATCTCTTATTTCCTTAGTATTATATTTTATATAATTATCTATAATATTCCCTTAACTAGTCCTAAAAATACCTTATAATATATAATAATAAGCTTACTTTATTAAAATTATATTAGGTATTATAGACCTTATAGGCTAAGTTTCTAGACTATAAGATAAACCTATTTAAGTTAATATATTACTAAAGTAAGTATAAAGAAGGTCTTAACTACTTAATATTTTAGATATATTTCTTAAAAAGGGTATATATATATTATAACTTTTTTACTATTCTTAGAAAATTATAATATTACTAAATTTACTATATTACTTTAAATTATTTTATAAAATATATAATTATAGTTTTAAGAATTACTAGCTATAACTAGTACTTCTAGTTACTATATATAATTAAATAGGCTAATTTAATAACACTAAAAAGTAATATATTACTAACTTTCTAAAGTATAACTTATAATATATAAGTAAGCTATATAAAAATAAAAGTATAAAGTATAGTTTATATAACTTAGTAATTATATAATTAATATAAAGCTAGACCTATAACTAGGCTATATTAAGCTTACTATATCTATTTTACTATAAAAGGGTTACTACTATTACCTTATATAGTAAGTATTCTTATAAACTTAAGAGCTATTAGTACTAGGATAGCTTATAAGGTCTAAATAAAGAGTATTAATATCTATTTACTTAAAAGGCCTTATAAACCTAAGAGGTTTAATATAGTTAAAGCTAAAGTTAGCTCTTCTTAGTAAGTCTAGGTTTATTCTTTATATATAAGCACTATAATAATATAATAATAGTTATTTTTACCTATAATTAGTATATCTCTTCTACTATTATAATAGTAAGGTAAGAGTATAATATTATATTAGTAATATATTCTAAAATTATAAAGTATAAAGTTAGACTACCTATACTAGCTCTAACGTCTTAATATCTATCTTAATTTTTTATATATAAAGCTATAGGTAAGGGTTTAAATAAGGTAATTTTTATTTTTACTAATTTAGAATTAGAGTCTATATTAGAGTTAGATAATAAAATAGATAATAATATTCTATCTCTTAAAATAATAAATAGATATATTAATAATAAGACTATAATATAACCTAATACTTTATTAGGTAAGTTAGCCTCTTAGCCTTAATAAACTATTAAGTAAAAGAAGTAAAGTAAATATTAAAGCTAATAATTATACTAGTATTAATAATAATAACTATACCTAATATACTATAAGATATTTTACTAAGTCCTAAAGGGGATAATAACTTAAATAAGGCTATATAATACTTACCTTCTACTTTTCCTACTACCTCTCCCCCCTTAAGGTAGGCGTCTAGGGATAGGTTAGACTTTAGTTAGTGTTTACTAAGTATACCTACTAAGGTAGCTAAGTAAGGTTATAGGTAGGTAGAGGATATAGATAAGTTACTTATAAGCTATTATAGTAATTATAAACTAAGCTACTATACTAAGCTACTATAGTAGACTTAGCTATATAAGGGCGTTATTTATAATAATTTAGCGTCTATTAATAATAATAGTAATATTACTAATAATAGTGATAGTAATAGCTCCTCCTATAATAGTGATAATAATAGTAGTAGTAATAGCGACGGCGGTAATAATAGTGATAATAATAACTATAATAATAATAGAAGTTCTAGTGATACTAATAGTAAGGATAGTAGCTATAGTAAAAAGCATAACGTAGACTAGTTACCTTTAGTAACTAGTTCTAAAGATAGTTATACTAATAGCCTTTTAAATAATAATATAATAGTAAAGACTCCTAGACTATATAAACACTAGAAGGTTACCTATAAAGAAGTAAATATAATACCTATCTATATCCTAAACCCTATACCTTACTCTAGAGGACCTTTACTATAACTACCTAGATAGGCTTAAATAGCTAGTATACTTAGCCTACTAGCCTCTTATAGCCTATCTAAATCTAAGAGTAAGAATAGC